TGTGTATTTCAGTCATTTTGATTTGGGGTAACTCTAAATATAAAATTATTACATGTAGTGATGTCTCCCAGCCCTTACATGTGGAAATTTTTTAAGTGGACTTGTATGCTGATAATTCTAGACCAAAGTAAATATGGCAGAATATTTATACATGAAAAAATAATTTTGCAAATATTTTCTATAATTGTATTATTCGTTTAAAATGTTGATAGCTTGTGTTAGTTTCAGGGAGGGGTGTATATTTTGATAAAAAAATACTTGACTTTGTAATTCTGTATATTCTATACAATTTATAGCAGAGCCGTTTTAAGACAGCCTTGTCACATTTTTTTTGTTAATTGTGAAAACTTTATCATGAGTGATGTTTAAGTATGCATTGAGTACATAACGACCAACTAGAATTAAAGTAGGTGTAAACAGTGAACATACTGTATGCTGTACAAGATATATTGTAATTTGCCGTTTTAGCATCTGTATTTTGGTTAGAAGATATTATTAAATGCAGATGTTAAGGGTTGGAAAAGTCTAATTTTATTTTTAGAAATAATGAATACAGATTTGGTTTTGCTTGATTAAAATAGCTTATTCCTATGTTAAGTCTCTTAAATGTTTTAATGTTAATTCTTTTGTGCAGCCAAGCAGCAGTTTCCTCTTTGTGAGTCACAGCCTTGTTTCACATATCATTCACTTAATATATTTCTGTTTCCTTACTTGTTTGCATTCCATGATACCTACTTACATGCTTATTAGGACCCAAACGGAATATACATTTAAAAAAAAAAAAAAAAGGTAGAATAAGAGAGCTGGAAGTCTTCTTATCACTCGGTGCTTTGGATAGGCCTGACCTTGGCGTGTGGAATCCGAGAGCCCTGGAAGTGTCTCTGCCCCAGGAGACAAATTCCACTTGGTACCAGGTGTTTGGCACTGTTCTTCCCCTGGGCCGTTTCATTCGGGTCTTTCCCGACAAGCCTGGGAAGTCATCCTCACTATCCACATTTTATAGCGACTTTGAGAAGATCCCACAGCCAGACAGAGCCAGGATTCCAACCCAGGGCTTCGTGACTTCAGAGCCCATGTCTTCGTTTCTTCTCAGCACCTTAGAGGAAACTGCTTCCTGGAAACTGAGCGGAGAGTAGGAAAAGGGGCGCGAGGAGGGCAGGCAGCTCTAGGACAGTGGCTGCCCCCTGTGCCAACTTTCAGGAGGCTGTACTGGCCTCAGCTCTCCCTGGCACACCCCTGCCTTTTGTCCTCACGCCTCAACACTTGGGGCGTTTGGCTTTCTCCTCGATGTTGGGATATTGCCCTATAAAACCATTTTTTAAAAACCTGTGCACTTTTCCCCAAGAATATGGAGTAAAATTATCATTTAATGCTGTTCTAAGCTAGTAATTTCTCACCCAAAGAAAAAACTGTGTTCCATCATCACAGACCATACCCCTAACCTTGACTCGTCACCTTCAGATGCATGCAGTCGGTCGCAGTAGGTCGCGGTAGGTCACGTGGAAGGGAGTGCCAGTGGCTCACGCCGCGCAATCCATCAGCAACACAGGGAAAATAACTCAGACTTCCGGTCCTCCTCGTGGCTGGCCGGTAGCACCAATTTTGTATTGGAAGGGTAATCCAAACCAGATCCAAACCAAAACTTTGATAACTGCTGGCTGTTGAAACTAACGTCCTTGATCGAGCAAAACAACAGATTCAATATTGAAAAAATTTGTAACAGTTGAGAAAGTAACTGGATTAAAATCATCAAAACAAATCATGCAAGGCAGTCCTATTTGTACGTATTGTATGAATTACTTTGGGTCTTCTTATTCCTGTTGCTCACCTTCCTCTTTTCTCATTGGCTCCCATCAACTGATTTGGTTCCACGCCCTCTGTCTCCATCAGGTGCTCTTTGCAGAGGCAGTTTCCTCCATATGTGAGAACTCTTCACCTTCCTCTTCCCCAAATCCTGGTGGGCTATTGATCTCCCTTCTGGAGAGAGGAACCCCCCCTTGTCCCCACTCTCCCTCCCCAGTATTCGCCCCTTGATGCTGACTCTTCAAGTAAGGTGCTCAGTGGACAGGCAAGTCAGGCCTCAGTGGACTCTCCAAATTTAGACAACTAATGGAAGAACTGGTTATAACAGAAGTATGATTACACTTTTAAAGATTTTTTTTTAATTATTATTTCATTCTTGACATCCAAGACCTCAATTCTGTTTATTTAGAATCTTTTGCTGAGGGGCGCCTGGGTGGCTCAGTTGGTTAAGCGTCTGACTTCAGCTCAGGTCATGATCTCAGGGTCCTGGGATGGAGCCTCATGTCATCAGGGTCTCCCTGCTCAGTGGGGAGTCTCCTTCCCCCTCTGCCTCTGCCTCGCCCCCTGCTCATGCTCACACTCTCTCTCAAATAAAATATACTTTTTTAAAAAAAGAATGTTTTGCTGAGAAGTCAAGAGCACTTTTTTCCCCAACAATTTTAAGAGCTATGACTTCTGTGTAATTATAGGTAGGGGTAAGGATGTTATTCCTGTTACAGGAAACTTTGGTATACAGAGACTTAAAAGATGTAACAATGCTAATTTATGTAGAATTTTCGTTCACTCATTCAAAATATGTTTAATTTTGAGTCTCGGGTGTTGTGCCCAGGGCTATAGAGGTAGAAGAGGTAGCCTGAGCCTTCAAGGAGCTGGATCTGGGGAAGGAGACTGATGAGGCAAGCCATGATGACAAAACAAAACTCTGAGCTCCTGGGAGCTCGGAAGCAGATTGGATTGTGTTGGGTTATGAGAGAGATGGCTCCGAGCTAGGGCTGAGGGAGCCTGGGAGCTTCCTAGTGCGGGCAGGCCCAGGTAGAGTGGCTAAAACAAAGGAGCATGGGTGAGGGCAGATTGCTATGCAAACCTGGGGTTTGGGTGGTGAGCCAGGAGACGCACATAGAGGCCACATCACCAGGGCCTCATGGGCCTTGCCAGAGAATTTGTACTTCTGACACTGACAGATGATGGGGGAGCAGAGGAGCAGCTGAGTGCTAGGAGGGAAGTTCAGAGCTAGGTCCTAGAAGCAACATGAGAGGCCATGGGAAGGCTTCAACAGACAGGACATGATCTAATGTGTTTAAAGGATGACTCGCACTCCAGTGCAGTGCGGAGACTGCAGGTCAGTGAAGAGACTCTCTTTGTTTCCCCCCTTGCAATATATTTCTGAAGACATTATGTTGTTTGTCCTGAAGAGTTTCTCATGGCCTGGGAATTTAGCAAGACAGCTTCCTAAGTTATGTTCTTCCATCAGGAGGCACATGCTGTCTGGCTGACATATTGGATATACTTTGAAGGTAGATCTGATGGGATTTACGGGTGGTTTAGGTCCCAGGAGGTGAGAAAAACAGAGGCATCAAAGACGACTCCACGTCTTGGGCCTGAGCAATGGAAGGATGGAGTCACCAGCAGTTTGCAAGAGGGGACTGACTTCAGGTATGAAGCTGAAAGGCATGTTTCATTCCTTCAAAACCTATTTGAGCTAGATGCTGGGACTACAAGAGCAGGCAAAACAGATTATCCCTGGAGCTTATGATCTAGTGGGGCACACAAAACACATCTACATAAGTGCTACAAAGAGGAGGTGCTAGTCAGGAAGTTCCTTGAGGAAGTACCTTTTGAGTGAGATCGGAACAAGGAATAAGAATTGAAAGAGGAGTGAATTTCCAGGTAGAGGGAACAGCATGTACAAAAGTCTGCTTCTAGAGGGAACACAGTGCACTGGAAGCCAGTGGTGGCCAGAGTGCAAGAGGGATGGGTCTGAGATGAGACTGGAGGCCGGAAGCCAGACCCTGCAGGGTCCCCAGGTCCTGCTAAGGATTGGGATCTTCTACTAAGAGCAACAGAGAGCTGTTGAATTGTTGAGACCAGAAGAAGTATTTTAATCAGTTTTGTACCTGTGAAAAGTCACTGTGGCTGAAATGTAGAGAACGACGTGGAGGACAGTAGTGGCCGGAAATCGAGCAGGTAGGAAGCTACTGCAGTGGTCCAGACTGGAGAGGACAGTGGAGTGGAGTATGTATTGGCAGGGAAGATGAGAGAAGAGGGGAGAGAATGAGAGCTAGTTCGGAGATAAAATCAGCAGCACTTGACGTTGGATAGATAGATATGGGGAAGTGAAGGCTAGGGAGGGGCCAAGGATAACCTTTTGGTTTCAGATTTGTTGAAACTATGGGAATGTAAGATGTCTCCCATCAAGCTTGTATAGCAAAAGAAGACAGAATCCCGGAGAACACAGATATTGGAAAGATGAATTAAATAAAAGCCTGTAAGGGGCTGGCATGGAGAAGAGATGGAGAAATAGGAGGAAAATTGGGGGAGTGGCAGCTAGGGGGCCAGAGATGGAGAACCTCTCAGAAAGGAGAGAATGATCAATGGTGTCAAGTGAAGATAAAGCCGACTAAAGAAAATCTGGAAAGTGCCCTTTTGCACCCAGCAACTAGAAGGTCACTGGCAGTGATGTGCTGGTAAACAGTTAACGACCATCACCTTGGAGAGAGGGAAAGCCGGATTCCTAGTGCTTGCCAATGTCTGTCGTGTAAAGACTCCCGCCACAGATGATTTTAAGCTACCAGCATGATGTCACTGAACGTGGAGTTGGGAAGAGAGACATCAGTCGGTTCACAAGAGCTAGTATGAGCCTGCTCGGTGGCTCACCTGGGGGATCTTGGAGTAGTTTCAGTGTGGTGGTGCTGGTGGAAGCTGGGCGTCAGAGGCAGGAGTGGAGGGGGAGACCGTGAGCGAGGGTTCTGGTTTCAAGAAGCTTAGCTATGAAGGGGGCGCCTGGGTGGCTCAGTCAGTTAAGCATCTGACTTGCACTCAGGGTCCTGGGATTGAATCCTGCATCTGGCTCCTTGCTCAGTGGGAGGCCTGCTTCTCCCTCTCCCTCCTGGTCTGCCCCTTCCCCTGTTTGAGCTCTCTCTGTCTCTCAAATAAATTTAAAAAGAAGGAGGAGGAGAGGAGAAGCAGCAGCTGCTTAGCTATAAAAGGAGAGAAGAAAGAGAAAGGTAGGAGACCAGGATTCCACCATATGCAGTAGAACAAAGGACGAGGAGGCAAGGGAGTTGAGGGTATCAGCAAGAGACTTGGTTGTAGCCAAGGACTATAAAGCCTGGGTTTAATTTAAGGAAATATGGACTTCAGTGTCTGATAGACACACACAAATGGAGGAGGCCTTCAAAGCTCTTCCACAACTATTTTCCTATTTGTCTCTCACCATCGTCGTGTTGTGGTGGCCGTGATTACTGTCTTCTTCATCTAAAAGCTGTGGACACAGAGCATGGAGAAGCCAAGGGGCTCAGAGACTGGACCAACACCGGTCAGTTTTCAGGACACGCTTTTTACCACCACCCGCTGACTCCACATTGACTAAGGGATATTCTGGAAGATGGGGTACTGGGACAACGACAACTGTTGTGCTTTCCTTAAAATGAGTGTGTTTATTAGCCTGAGACCCAAATACCCTCAGAATGCCCTGGGTCATTGTTTTGGACGGTGTGTTCTTATGTGGCAGTTAGCATAGGTAGACCTCACGTTATTGTGCTTCACTTTATTGTGCTTTGCAGATACTGCATTTTTTTCTTTTTTTCTTACAAATTGAAGGTTTGTGGCAACCCTGCATTGAGCAAATCTATTGGTATCTCTGTGGCACATTTTGGTAATTCTTGCAATATTTTAAACTTCCTCATTATTATATTTGTTATAATAATCTGTGATCAGTGATTATAACTCACTGAAAGCTCAGATGAGGGTCAGCATGTTTTTGGCGATGAAGTATTTTTTAAGGAAGGTATGTACATTGGTTTTTTAGACATAATGCTATTGCACACTTAGTAGACTCCAGTCTAGTGTAAACATACTTTTACATGTACTGAAAAACCAAAGAACTCATTTGCCTTGTTTTATTGTGTTATTCATTTTATTGTGGTGGTCTGGAACCAAACCCGCGGTATCTCCAAGGGGTGCCTGTATTACCAGGCACTGTTCTAAGCATCTAATGAATATTACCTCATTTAATCCTCCTCTCAGTGCCATGAGATAGACATTGATATGACCATCCCCATCAACATTTAATGTGGTTATCTTGTGCCGTACAGTGCCACAAAACTCGGCGGCTCAAAACAGCCCTGTACCAGTATTATTATCTCACATGGTTTTGGGGTCTGACTGGGATCAGCTGAGCGTGCCTCTCATGCCGGTGTAGACAGTTGGTAGCCGGGTGGCGTCAACTGAAGCCTTGAACACATGGGGCATCCAGGCAGCCCCAGCCCAGCTTAGAGTCAGGGGTGGAGGAATGGACTACACTTCTCAAGGGGGGGGGGTGGGCAGCAGGCACATCCGGGGAGGGAAGGGATAGATGGTGGCCATCTTTAGGGACAAGCTATTCTACAAGAGATAATCCCCAATGAGAAACCCCAGGCACAGAGGAGCTAGATGACTTACCCAAGGTCAGACAGCCGGGATGTGGAGAAGCAGAGTTCGTCCCAGGCAGCTGAGTTCCAAAGTCTGCTGAGACAGGCAGAAGGGACTGAAGCCCAGTCGCATAGCACACCCTCTCATTGCAAAGCCATGGTGGTTAAGAGCACAGCATTATTCGTGGTAGAACCAGAGCGTTCCTGGAGTGAGCTGTGAAGGAGCTGGGAGAGAGGAAGAAATTCTAAAAATATTTTAAATGGAAGGACGCCTGGGTGGCTCAGTCGGTTAAGTGACTGCCTCTGGCTCAGGTCATGATCCTGGAGTCCCGGGATCGAGTCCCGCATCGGGCTCCTGGCTCAGGGGGGGCCCGCTTCTCCCTCTGACCCTCTCCCCTCTCATGCTGTTTCTCTCTCGCTCGCTCTCTAATAAATAAATAAAATCTTTAAAAACAAGTCAATAAAAATATTTTAAATGAAAATAAATGGGGAGGGTAAATATTGAGTCAAATTTCAAGAACTATCTAAACAAGGCTTTTTTTATGTTGGGGGTGAAAATAGGGTCTTGTGTGGCCTGAGACAAATGGAAGACTTTATACTTTTGCTTGCCTTTACCCAATCAGGAAAGAATAGAAATGTAAGTGTTGGGGGGGGGGGGGTGGCGGGGAGGGCAAGACAAGGGTTGCATTGCTTTTTTTCCTTATAAGTAATCAAAATCTGAAACTTCTACTCAGCTGCTCCAAATGGTCAAATATGGGGGGGAGCCTATGACTGGGACCAGGGAGTTGGAATCTGAGGTGTAGACTGGCCTCAGACAGGATCTTCAGGCTCCTTCTGTGCCCCTTGTATCATGTCATAGCCCTGAAAGTCCGGGTCATCGCTTACTTTGACACGTCATGGCCCCGCTAATGGAAGAACATCTTCCATTAGGAAGGACATCTAAAGGAAATGACATCTCTAATTCAAAAAGTTTACTCACTTCACAGAAGCAATGGGGTATTGCCACAGAGAAGCTGACTCACCTCCAAGTGGCCCTTTTCTCTCCCCAAATCTGACGACCAGAGACACTGTAAGCTTAGGCACTGTTAATTTCTAGCTTCTTGGTTTTACTGGGCTAAAAGGCCAGGTCCCACCCATTGACTGGAACATGCTCACTATGTGGGTAAATGTGGTTAGTGGAAAGAGCAGCAGGCCATTTCCCAGGTCAGACCCCATCATTTCTGACATTTCTCTTCCTAAAGAGAAATTCAGGGCCGCTATTTTCGTCATCATGATGGGAACCCGCCTCCTCCGCTATTGCTCATGTTGCCTGTGGCAACATTCCAGCCACCGGGAACTCCTCACCATCCAGTAGCATCCCCACACCTAAGCAAGAAGGCCCCACCCTGGCCCTCCTGCAGAGGTTCCCCCCCTCCGGCCCCAGGGGTCAGAGTCTGCAGGGCCAATAGTAAGGTGCCCACCCAGAGTCTGTGCCACTCTGAACACTCAGGACCACCCAGAGAATTCTCTACCCACTTGCAGGGTCTGCTCAGGCCTCTTCCCTGCCAGTGTCACTCCCCTTGGTCCCAGGGATGGGCAAGGGGCAGGTGTTTGCAGGTGATGGGGACGGAGTCTGTGACCCGTATGTGCTGAGCCGGAGGCCCCCAGCATAGGGGAGGGAGCAGGGTGGAGAGTAAAAAGGCACAAGGGGAGGACCTGGGCCCAGCTCTTCTTGTGCTTCTCCCTCCGATCTGGAACACCCGAGCCTGGGAATTCTAAATCCAAACCTGGCTTCCCAGATGGTTATGAAGGTGTGTTTACCAAAGAAAGAGAAGAGAGCATATTCAATTTAAGAGCTATTCACCTGATTTCTAGCTTTCAAATGCTTAGACATATGATCTACTACTGTTGACCCTTGAACAGCATAAGTTTGAACTGTGTGGATCCACTTATATGCAGATTTTTAAAAATACAGTACAGTACTGTGAACATATTTTCTCTTTCTTATGGTTTTAACATTTTTCTCATTTACTTTATTATAAGAATACAGTATATAATATGTACACACCATACGTGTTAACTGGCTGTTTCTGTTGTCAGTCAGGATTCTGGTCAACTGTAGGCTATTAGGGGCTAAGTTTCTGGGGAGTCAAAAGTTATACAGATTTCTGACCCTGCAGGGCAATCAGCACCCCGATCCCTGCATTGTTCAAGGGTCAACTGCATAGGCCTCCATCACTTGCCTTCAACCCTATAGAAGTTTGGGGGGCTGGCACCACTCCCCAGAGTGTCTGGCTTTTCATCACACTATGTCTGAGTTCCAGTTCCTGGCAGTATTGAAATGTCCATCCCTTCCCCCCCGCCCCCAACTCCACCCCTATCCACCGTCATGAGCAGGTCTCAATGCGCAGTTCCAAAGCCTCTTCTAAAGCTTCTTCCCAGAGGTGTTTTGTGTTTTGTTTTGTTTTGTTTTGTTTTAAGATTTTGTTTATTTATTTATTTGACAGAGAGAGAGAAGCAGCATGAGAGGGGATAGGGTCAGAGGGAGAAGCAGCCTCCCTGCTGAGCCGGGAGCCCGATGTGGGACTCGATCCCAGGACTCCGGGATCATGACCTGAGCCGAAGGCAGTCGCTTAACCAACTGAGCCACCCAGGCGCCCCCGGAGGTGTTTTGTGAGACAGACCCTCAGACGTCGGCTTGCCTTTGCCTCAGTCCCCCCACAGCTCTCTGGCAACACCCTTTTTCAATCCCACGTCTGCTCTCGGACAGCAAGCTCCTCCTCTTATTTAGCTACACTTCCAGCATCAGCACTGCAGTCCCAAACATGAGTCATCTCCTGAGAGTAGTGATTCTCCATTCCAGGGTCACGAACCATCACAGTGCATCTGGGAAGGAGGGTTTTCCCAAGATGTGCGACTTTCAGTGCTTAAACCAGGTCAGTCTTGGGGAAACCGGGATGACTGGTCACCCTGATGGGGAAGAGGTTCTCCAGGACGGGAAGGGGCATCAGCAGCCACAATAGAAGTAGAACTAAGTGGCCAGTTTTAGTTTGCAACAACTAATGGGATTGTCAGCTTTCTACTGCCTCTGCCTGAGAAGTGAGGAAACATCTAGGCCACACAGGAAGCTGGCCAGGATGTGCAAGTCTGGGCTGAGAGAATGGAGGGGACAACCATGGGGCCCAATCTCCAGAGTCCTACTAAAAGGCTTTAATTATTTCACAGAAACTCCCTCTACTCTCATTTCTCTGAAGAACCTCCTGGGGAGCTTCCCGCTTCCCCCCTCGGAAGCGTTCAGAGTCCACTTTGAGAATTAGTGATGGTCTGTCCCAGGCTTCCCCACCAACCCCCATCTGTCCTGCTAAGTGTGATGGACAGCTCTGGGTTTTCCTGCTGAGTCCTTTTCTATTTTGATGGTGAAAGCACTTGAATTTCTTTTAGAAATCTCCTCTCACTCCCTCTTTCTTCAGCCCCACCTTCAGACCTGACGGATCAGGTTAGGGGTTGCTGGTGGGTGGGAAACACGGGACCTGGTGCTAGTTACTGTATTTCTACATCTCAGCGCAAGAACAAGGAAACTGAGCCAGGACCTTCTCGACTGCCATGGAGAGAACAGTTGGCCTTAAGCAAAGCTGGATGTCAGGGCTCCGTTCTGAGGTTCCTGGTAGTCTGGACTAACATAATTCAAATTCTGAGCTTTCTCAAGCAAAAGTCATGAGAATCACTGTGCTCTGTATTAAATGCAAACTAAGCAGAAGTGCTTCTGTCTTCAGGGTTTTTTGTCGCTTAGACAAAAATGGGATGTGGGAAGGAAACAAGAACCTAAAATGAGTGGATGACAGTTGGAACCAGGAAGCCCCTCACCTCATCTCTAGGTCCCCCTTCATGCTCCTTCTTGCTCCTTTATTCGTCCTCTCTGTGCTCCCAGCCTTCTCTGCCTCTCCCTGGCTGCCGTGCACGATGCTGGCCCGCCCGACAGGACCTCATGGGCAGTGGCCCTCAGATGCCGACTGCCTGCCATCCCTGGGTGCTAATTGCCAATTTCTGGAAAAGGATATCTGATTCCTGCCTTCCCCCCACCCCCCACACCCCCATTGAAGACATCGGTTCCCTTGGTCAGTTTAGTCTGGATTTAATTAGCTCTGATTAAGGGACCGAGCCCTGTTAGGAGATGGCTGCAGAAGCTTCACCCTGGGGGCAAAGCCGGCATTCAGAGGAGGCAGGGCGGGCTGGGAGAGGTCCTCAAGTGCCCACCATGTGGTCCTGCAGGGACTAGAGCTGCTTCATCAGTAACCACACCAGCAGGAGCCTCGAGACCTGTCATGATGGCTTCCAACCTTGCTGTCCCAAATCTCCCATGACAGATATACCTAGGCAGTTGTAAAAAGGTCTGCCTGGCTTTGAGGAGGTCTTAGGCCTTGTCCCACACCAACATTTCACATGGATTTGTGGGTGACATGGCATGTAGCACTGTAAAGGGTGTGATTTGGGTAGGTATTTGTAAAGGATGTCTCACCCCCCTCCACACACACACACACACACACACACACACACACTCTCTCTACACATTAAAAAGTGAACTTGCTTTGACAGTGTTTTCCCCTCACCCTGCCAATTTGCAAACATGTTCTTCAGAAACATTATAAACTTGTTTATGCAAAGCTTGTTTTTGAATGCATTCTTTTTGAAAAAATATGTGTTAAAAAAAAGAAAACCTGTTTATATGTGGAAGGCGAGTAATGTAAACAAGCTGTCAGCGTTTGAGAGCAAGCGGCTGGAGGCTAGGGTAAGATCTCTGCCTACATTGCCGCCTGCTGTAACCTCCAACCCCCTAGTAGAAGTTTTAGCATGAAAACCCAGTCTTCCCTCTGCTCGATAAGCATCAATCTCCCGGCTTCTCTCTCAAGAACACTGAACCAGACTCGCACCCCCACCATGGAGGGACTCCCACCTTTGTGCAGACGAGAGGGAAAGTCTTGCCAGCAGAGGTCACTGATGCTCCAGCTTAGGATTTAGCAGCCGCCAAGGCAGGAAGGCTGTCCCAATAAGGTTGTGCCCACCCCGCTTCTTGCTCCTGTCCATGAACTTGCTCCCTGCTTAGCCTATTGAAGGAAATAACCGTCAGTGTTGCAGTAACAAAGTGTGTGCATGCTAGCAACAGTTTTTCTCAGTAGTACCTACCCTTTCACATCCCCAACCTGTGAGTCTTTAGTTTGACATGAAGGGAATTCTCGGGATAAGACAGGCAATAATCTGAGACACAGAACATCAGGTGCTGCTTCAACCCTGGATTGTACCTGACCAGGTGTAGCCCATTCCATAAACTAGTTATATCTGCTTCTTGCCTGGATTACTGGGAGGTGACCCCCACCACACGTGGAAAGTCGCCTATAACGTAGGGACAGGGGCTGTGGTCTGGCATGGAGTAGTGCAAGCCAGTTGGGGGAGGGGGGAGGGGGGAGAAGGTGCCTGTGGACTGCCCGCAAAGAATGAGAGGCATTTAGGAGCCACCTATGGGCCCAGGGCTTGCCGTGGACCACAGCTGCATAGCTCGGACCGACTTGCCAGCGTTCTGCAGTGGCAAGAGATGCTACGAGGGCGCATCTGTCCACTAAGGGTGGAGGGGAAGAAACTGCATCTGTGGGATGGGGGAGAGAGTAGCAGGGCACCTAAAAACCATCGAATTGCCATATGACAGCGCCCACCTCATATACGAAGATGCTGCCAAACTCAGAGGCCAAGTGAGAATACCAACTTCTCAGGCCACTGGGATGCGTAGCCCGTTCTCCGCCCAGGCAGCCAGGGGATTGCACCTCACAGCCCTGGGCAGCAGAGACGCGACGGTCCTGGAAAACCGGAAGGAGGTACCGGGGCACGGTGGCAGCAGGGAACCCCACGCGAAGGTAAGGAAGCTGCCCGCCGGTCTGGGAAGAGCGCTGAGGAAGAAGCATGTGACCCAGGCCTAAGCCAATCAGTTGCACTTCCGCAGTCACCGCGATTGGCTCAGCAGTGTGCCTGGGACCCACTCAGAGCCAATGAGACTTAAGATTCCCGGGCATGCTCTAAGAGAGGTTTGTTCTGCCCGCTCGACCTGGGGCTGAAAAGCTGGTGCGGGGACTACTGCCTTTTTTTTTTCTTTTTCTTTTAAGATTGTATTTATTTATTTGAGAGAGAGAGAGAATGAGCGGTGGGGAGGGGCAGAGGGAGAAGAAGAGAGAAGCGGACTCTCTGCCAAGCAGGGAGCCTGACCTAGGGCTCCATCCCAGGGCCCAGGTCAAAGGCAGACACTCAACTGACTGAGCCACGTAGGCATCCCTGTACTGCCTTCTTGTTAGCAGGAGGGAAGACCTGAGCTTTGTGGGGCCATCTTGGAGCTCCTGAGTTGATAGCCGATACAGTGGAAGAACCTTGAGGTGGGTGGAGGGAAATGAGTGCGGATGGCACTGTTTGAGCCCCAAATCCAGCCATACCTGAAGTTAATTTTGCTCCTGGGTTTTCCGGGAGCCAACAAATTCCCCCTGTGCTCATTGGAACTGCGCTTCTGTGCATCCTGGGGCGGGAGAGATGAGGTAAGTGTTCTCTGAGCCACTGCTGACATCTGATACTTCTAGGATTCTTTGTATTGAGTTTGACCTTCTTTGAGGTTGAGATAAACCCAAGTGGCCAAGGCAAGCTGTTCCAGCTCAAAAGGTCCCCCCAAAATACTATGAAGCCATCAAAAAAAAAGAGAGAGAGAGAAAGAAATCTTGCCATTTGCAGTGACATGGATGGAACTAGAGGGTATTATGCTAAGCGAAGTAAGTCAATCAGAGAAAGACAATTATCATATGATCTCACTGATAGGTGGAATTTAAGAAACAAAACAGGAGGGCGCCTGGGTGGCTCAGTTGGTTAGGCGACTGCCTTCGGCTCAGGTCATGATCCTGGAGTCCCGGGATCGAGTCCCGCATCGGGCTCCCTGCTCGGCGAGGAGCCTGCTTCTCCCTCTGACCCTCCTCCCTCTCATGCTCTCTGTCTCTCATTCTCTCTCTCAAATAAATAAATAAAATCTTTAAAAAAAAAAAAAAAGAAACAAGATCATAGGGGAAGAGAGGAAAAAAACAAGACGAAACCAGAGACGGAGGCAAACCATAAGAGACTCTTAATCCTAAGAAACAAACTGAGGGTTTCTGGGGGGGAGAGGGGCGAGGGGATGGGGTAACTGGGTGATGGACTTTAAGGAGGGCATGTGATGTAATGAGCATTGGGTGTTATAAGACTGATGAATCACAGGCCTATACCTCTGAAACCAGTAATACATTATGTTAATTAATTGAATTAAAATAACACATGTTTTAGAAAGTCCTCTGAAGCTTGTTCTTTACAAACATCCAGACCATTCTGAATCTTTGTGACCATTCCTGACCCCAGAGTGGGAGCCAACAACTTCAAGGCATGAATCTGAACCCTAAGATCAACACAGAGATACCAGCATTCCTACCGTGTATCACCTACAGAAAGCAACACACTTTCAGAAGATCTCATTGACACTGAAGTTAAAACTTCAACTCTAGATTTAGAAGAGCTTCTAGTAGGAGAGAGATGAGAAACTAATTGAATCGTTCCCATAATTACTAATTTAAATGTGTAAAGTATCACTGGTTTTCCTTTTATTCAAAGTTCTGCCTTTATTCCTTTCTTTAAGTGATGGTAAAAATATCTAGGGGCGGGGCGGGTGCGGGTGCTGACTGGCTTGGTCCGAAGAGGTTGCTGCTCTGGGTCATGAGTTTGAGCCCCACTTTCGGTGCAGAGATTACTTAAATAAATAAACTTTAAAAAGAATTATCCAGGGCGTCTGGGTGGCTCAGTTGGTTAAGCGACTGCCTTCGGCTCAGGTCATGATCCCAGAGTCCTGGGATCGAGTCCCACATCAGGCTCCCTGCTCGGCGGGAAGCCTGCTCTCCCTCTCCTACTCCCGCTGCTTGTGTTCCCTCTCTCGCTCGCTCTCTGTCAAAAAAAATATAAATAAATAAAATCTTTTAAAAAAAAGAAAAATTAGGGCGCCTGGGTGGCTCAGTTGGTTAAGCGACTGCCTTCGGCTCAGGTCGTGATCCTGGAGTACCAGGATCAAGTCCTGCATCGGGCTCCCTGCTCTGCGGGGAGTCTGTTTCTCCCTCTGACCCTCCCCCCTCTCATGCTCTCTCTCTCTCTCTCATTCTCTCTCTCAAAAAAAAATAAATAAATAAATAAATAAAAAGAATTATCCAGGGTCATTTCTGCTTTTGTTCCTTTTTGGATTTTTTTTTTTTAACTGAAGTTAAACATACCCACAGTACAGTGCACAAATCTTAAGTGTACACCTTGATGGATTTAGCATATGGAAAACAAGTGATCTGTTCTCTTTGTGTCTGTGTCCTCATCTGTTAGGTGACTTTTTTTTTTAATCTTTTTTTTTTTTTAAGATTTTATTTATTTATTTGAGAGAGAGAGAATGAGAGACAGAGAGCACGAGAGGGAAGAGGGTCAGAAAGAGAAGCAGACCCCCAGCCGAGCAGGGAGCCCGATGCGGGACTCGATCCAGGGACTCCAGGATCATGACCTGAGCCGAAGGCAGTTGCTTAACCAACTGAGCCACCCAGGCGCCCCTGTTAGGTAACTGTTAGTGAGGCAGCAATTCTCAGAGATTTCTTCCAAGCCAATGACCCTGTTCTGGATGTTGTCATGGAATAGCGCCTTTATCCCTGTTGCGGCGTGTCTTTTTCCACACACCTGATGCCGTGGCTCTGCATGGTTGGCCCCAGATAAATCTTTGTTTCCCAGGACTGCCTCTGACACTACCTCCAGAAGCGCCCAGCTTTGGGAGCAGGAGGCTGTTGACCAAAGAGCCCACGGCCCACAGCACGGCCGCAGTCATCATGGTGAGCACGGCGCCTGGCTCAGGCGAATCAGGGAAGCCATTCCCACCACAGCGGTAAGTGAGCACATGACGGAGGGTTAGTAGATATTTACTGGATGGATGGACGAGTGGATGGATCTCAATTCCAAATCCTTCAGGGAGACAAAAAGAACTGAACAAAGAAGAAAGCTGGTTCTCAGGTAATCAGGCTGTTGTCTTGACAGGAAAGAGGATTCCCTGGCCACCCAGCCTGATGCATATTGTTCAAATCAATCTCCAGTTTCACTGTAGTGTAACCGCACAATCAGACTGCTTGGAAATCCTCTCGAGTCAGCATCTTGCTTTAAGCGGTAAGGAAACCAGAGCATTTATAAATTGTTTGCCGAAGGGTTTGTTTTATGCCTGATAGTGTTAGATCGGCTGGGGAAAAAGCATGTGTATCAGTTAAGATGCTTTGGACAGCAATCCATCTTGTTAAGGCAACTTAACAAGATGTCCCAAAGTAGGCAGTTCCAAAGCTCAGTTGTATCAACAAGGACTTGTGCCTTTATTCACATCTGTCAACTGTTTATAATACCCACGCTCACAGAAGATGGCCAGAGCAGCAGGCCCTCACACGTCCAAAAGCAAGAAGAAAGCACTTTCTCCCTACCTTTCAGCAGCCCAAATCCACAGGTAGTCAGACCAATCCCTGGCAAGCAGGAAAGGCATGGTTGCAGTAACAGTTATCCTCTGGGATTGAGTCATGGTCACCAATTAACTGTCCAAAATCAGGGCTCTTTGATCATGGAAGGAGAAGACATGAATTATGAGTGAGCAACCAGCGCGTTCTCTATAGCATGGCCCCATTGGCCGTCATTGGCGATCATCCAGGCCAATCCAAATTCAAGGAAATAAATTATTTTTTAACTTTAAATAATCTACCTCCACAGTAAAATTGGATGATAGCCATTGACCAGGCAACCAAGGGCTCTGCATAAAAAGCCCTAGTGGCTTCTAGAGGCCGTTGGTGACAATGAAGGCCTTCTTGCTCTGTTTACCACAGATTCTGTCCAGCAAATGTAGAGACTTGATAAGTGTGTCGGCCTCTTCCTGGGTAAAGGTCATGACTCTCGGAGAAAGCAGCTCATTGTGTGGCCTAGCAGAACAGACATCACTTGTTTTTTCTTAGTAAAACTCAGCAGTCTGGGACCAGAACTGAGTACCCTTCAACTTCCCTTGCCAGCTCCACCTCAAGAGCACACCCACATGAGCCTGGATAAATGGCCCTGTGAGGGAGGCATGTGGGGGTGGGCAATGACCCTGGGAGGGCCAGAGGTTGAGGGCAAGGGGTGATTTCCCAGGAAGTCCCAAAAATGTCACCTAAGAGGCTCATGTACTAACAATTAGCCTTTTATTCCCACCCTTTCTCTGCAGTTATGCGGGTAGGACCAAGGCTACCCTGGGACATACTCTGTGTGTGTGTGTGTGTGTGTGTGTGTGTGTGTGAGAGAGAGAGAGAGAGAGAGAGAGAGAGAGAGATCAGGATTGGTGTGTGTGCATGAGTAAGAGGGAAGTGGCAGGGCCAGAGGGCCAGAGAGTGAGTTGTACCTGTTGTGATTAATTCACCCCCAGGGATCACCCTGAGTCCACACAGTGCCACTCTTTTCCCTCCCTCCCAGGTTTGGGAGGAACCCATGGGACCCATTGGTGTATGCTGGATCATTATCACTGTCATAGGCTCTCTTGGCCTCTTTTCTACCTTCTTTGGTGTTCTGCTGTCTCCCTCATCCTTTCTCCTTCTGTCCACGTTTGCCTGCAATACTTTCCCCGAGAACATGATATGTGTTCTACTAGAGGCACTCAAGATCATTTCAGGGACACATAGACAAACATTTTCATAGTGGTTTTTTATAAAGATCTTATTTATTTATTTGACACAGAGAGAGAGATAGAGGGAGAGAGCACAAGCAGGGGGAGCGGCAGGGAGGCAGAGGGAGAGGGAGAAGCAGACTCCCCGCAGAGCAGGGAGCCCAATGTGGGACTCCCTCCCAGGACCCTGGGATCATGAACTGAGCTGAAGGCAGCCGCTTAACCAACTGAGCCACCCAGATGCCCCACATTTTTATAGTTTAATGGATATACGGTTATTTTACTCGTCATTACAAAAAACAATTGTTGTATATTGGCCCTGA